GGGGGCGATCCTTCCACCATCAATCAAAAAAATCAATCGATCAATCAATATCCGTTTCTTTCTTTGAACTCTTTTATATGCTGATTGATTGATTGATTGGTTGCCAACCAATCGACCAAACAATCAATAAATATATACAAAAAAGCTCAAAAGAAAAAGACAAATTTGTGTGTGTGTGGGGTGGGGGGGGGTGTTCCGAAGTCTTTTAACCCCCCTAACTTTAAGTTAGGGTTTGGGGGGGTGTTCCGAAGTCAGTTCCCCTTTCTTTTGCTCAACATAATTAAGCAAAAATTTGCAGGTAGGTTGTTTAGATCATGGACTATCTACAGAAAAGAAAACAAAACAAAACAAAAAAAAAACTACTAAAAAAATGGCCCCAAAACAGGGTTTGGCGGGCCCTGTCCGCCTGAACCCCCAAACATCTGGGGCAGGTCCGGCCTCCCCCCGAACATTTACGCAACGCTGCATTTATCTTCAATTTCTCATTTTGTATTTCATCTTCGATTGAGGGCCGTGACTTCAAGGGACATTTCAATGGGAAGAGACATCAGCAACTGAAATCAGACCGCAGTGTGAATATCCAGGGGTGTAAGGTTTGCCAAAGGAACGAAAGTACAACAAAGCTGCCCCTAGGACTGCTGAAACCGCTGCCCATTCCCTCAGGACCTCTATTAAGTCCTGCAGCAACGGCAACTGCCTCCTAGGATGACACATGCCTGTTGATAGGGCCAGCCCGTCTGGCTGCGAAGCATAAACAGTCCCTCCTGCAGAGCACCTTTGCGCGAGGGTTCTCTTCATCGCAATTTCTTTCGCATGGGGTCTCAAACCCTTAGTTCCGATGGTCCCAACGGATGTTGGCGCAATGTGATTTCTGCCCAATGTTCTGAATCTCAAATTGAAGAGATTCAACCAGGTAACTCTCTTAAGGTAAAAGTTCCTACATAAAACCCTTCGCATTTATCTTACGACGGATCAGATCCACTAAGATGAACATTTGCCCAAGGTAGCCAGTGCTTCCAACAATTGTGCACTCTGCATACATCTAACAATCCTGATCAGATTCAGAAATCAAACCCAGGAACTCTACAGTCTGCACTGAAGTATGGGAAAGACATCAGAACTCGCTGAGAACATTAGGCATGCCCAGCGCGAAATGGTAGAGCAGGCAAAAAAGCATCCAAGACCATCACCTTAACCGCAGGTGATCTAGTCTGAGTTAAGTCTAAAGAGATTGTTCGAAACAACAAATTTCTCATAAATTGCTGCCTGTGTATAGGCATTGGGTTAAGTCTAGAGAGATTGTTCCGAATTTCCAAAACAATAGATTTCTCAGAAACTGCTGCTTGCGTAGAGGCATTGGGAAGTCCCAACGTGATAGGAAATGCAGTTCACCCATCTTACGTCATGCATGTCCCTCCGCACCTGCAAACTTGCCCTGAGTTCTGCACAGGTTACTGCCTGTCAACTCGGACAAATCCTTCCCCTCGGGCACATCAATGATTCCATCCAACATGGATGGAAGCTATGGCATTGACTGTACCGTAAGTCGAGACTTTCTAAGAACCGGTATAAGGGGACCACCTACATGAGACAGCCCCACGGATAGTCTCACACTACAAAAGCGGAAAGGGGAACTGCTGGCATAGCAGGTCATTAAGTCTGTTTCTTAGCTTTCTCAGCCCGACCTTGAATTTAACCCAGGGGTAGTGAAAGGGTTTCAAGCATCTCAGGACTCCCGGTGCCGGTTCAAAGTACGGGAGTTCCATGTATATAGCCCCAACCGGTAGGAGTCACAGGCCCACCTGTACATCAGTCAATGCCCTGTAGACCGTACAGAGTGGGCCAGTAGGTTGGAGACTCCAGTGGACCTACATTCATTGTCGGTAAATGTCAATCTGTTAGTCCAAAAATACAGCTCCAATAGGTTATAGACTCCAGTGGAGAGACTCTCGTGGACATACTGCATTAATTGTCGGTAGATGTCAATCTGTTAGTCCAAAAATGCAGCTCAGTCACAGGAAAGTCTATTACTCCGGATGCGGTGGAGGCTGGCCCCAGCCAGCAGGTGAAAGGATACCTGTCCGGAAAGATCCAAATTTACGAATCGCAGCAAGTACAAAAGGCCGGCATCAGCAGAAAGCCACAATTTCCATTCATGCATATTGTGGAAGCACTCGTGCCGTCTTGTGCAGTCAAGCAACGAGTGATGCTGAGAGGAAAGACTAGGATAGTCTATAGACACCCGGCGTCATAGCAGATATGGAGAGTGAGTGTGAGTCAGGAAAGACATTTAGAGAGAGCAAGGTCTGTGAAAGTAGGTAGAAATGAAGAGAGAGAGAGAGAGAGAGAGAGAGAGAGAGAGAGAGAGAGAGAGAGAGAGAGAGAGAGAGAGACTTACCTTAAAAGCTTGTGGCAACCGTCCAGATATGTATACAAAGACTTGTTTGCGAGAGTTCGACTCACAAGAAACTTCCAAAATGTGCTCATATCGTGTCAATGTGTCTATCTCAAAGCGCACAATGCTTAGCATGCTAAAGTGAATCATGGTGTGCAAGCCGTGTGTCAAAGCTAACTCATTGCCATTTGACAGTGATACATTGTTCCCTATCCTTCCACTGCAAGCAAGATAATCCATGGGCGCTTTACTTAAATGATAGGATAAGGTGGTACCACATAACCATTATGAGAGTTGGCAATTCGCTACAAAAGGAAACTGTGGGGATGACGGGATATACAGATGGTTGGATCCTTGCCTTGCGATAAGGCCATCTTGTAATTCCATGCTCCCTGCATCGCTGCTTCAGCACTGTCACACACAAGCCCAGCTGCAGAGTTGAATCCACACACCAACCACACAATCCACACACCAACCACGAAACATCAGAATTTGAAAAACAATGAGCAGACATTAGGTGTCATTACGTGTCACAATAAATGACACTTCCACAACATCATGCGCTGCACCTCACTGTTTCAAACATCCACAACTGAGCAAGTGGCCTAGCTCAATTGGTTAGGCATGCAAATGGCATTCAGGTGGTCATGGGTCCACTCCCCACTGACCACCTGCGGCACTCTTGGTGCCAACCAACTGGGATAGTTGGCTTGCTCACCCTGTTCAGTATTTGTAGGGTCTTTGGCCATCACGGGCGTACGTGTGTGTGTGTGTGGGTTGTGTGGGAGAGTGCTGGCCATAGACATTGCTGTTACTCGATAGGGCCCGGGGAAATAGATGGGAGGCACAGCTACTGGCAAAATGCTCAAGCTTTGGTTTAGCCAGTCCTCCCTGCCGCCGGCCCCACCCTACTCCCTGACCACCGCCAATTAGGGCGGGGGCAACATGCATCCCCTTAATTGTGAGAGGTATGCTTGCAGGGGTCCCCTGTATAGCCTTTTAGGGGTCATATACGTAGTGAAAGGTGAAATTGAGAAAAGATTATAGCGTAGTTAAAACAAACAATCAAACAAACAAACAAACATCCACAACCTTCTCCCTCTCTCAACATCATAGGCCCCTTGTCCCCTTTCCCCTCCCTCTGTGCCACTCTCCTCATCTACATAAACATGCCTGCATTGAGAGTGACAAACTTTGCAGTGTTCCTAGCAATCACCTGCACAACCAAGTATGACGGATTACTGAAGCAACTAAGCCTAAGAGACTATCCAGCCGGCGGACCATGTGACTGTGCTCTGTGATTGGTTGACTTACAATGCAACTGTGTACCTGCCAATCTCACGGAGTCTGGCCACATACTGACAACCAACCGAGGGACTGTGCTGTGTAATTGTAATTGCGTGTCTCTGCGACTCAGTAACGTACCTCTGACCATAACTGTGCAACTTGTGGGTAGTGTAACAAGGCAACTCTACAGCGACATTGTATTTCTGCCACGGCTAGACCAACAACAGCACGGATCAGTGAGCCCAGGCTTGCACACATGCCATTGATCAGCGATTACCCGCAAACTATCAAATACACCTGAAGAGAGAAGAAAAAACGCATTCCAACAAACCGACACCGAGTGCGGTGGCTCAAACCCGGTAGCTATCAGTGGAAGAGAGCAGCAAGACACGTTGTACAGCGCATAAAAGTTTCAGTGAGAGTCACAGCGTCAATGAAGGCAGGCAAGACTCAGATGGATTGACCAGCCTTCAGATCAACGAATACTAACAAACACGAAGGGCAGGGGCAAAGGACGCACAGCGAGGAGGGACAGAAGCTGAGGAGACATACAGAGAAGGCAATGGGGTATCGCAGAGGCGAAGGGACAGAAGGGGTTAGAGACGGGACAGGAAGGAAGAACAGAGAGGAAGTCGGAGGGAGGGGCAGAGGACAGGAAGCGGGAGGGAGGGGCAGAGGACAGGAAGGGGAAGGGAGGGGCAGAGGACAGTAAGGCCGGGGAGGTGGGGGAGGGGGCGGAGAGGCAAACAGGAGGGAGAGAAGGTGCAAACAGAAGGAGCGGAGGAGGAAAAAGGAGGAAACCCGCAGATGAAAGGGTGTGGCTGGGGAGGAGGATAAAGGGAGGGGGAAGCAGAAGAGAGAAGCAGAGCAGAGGGAATTGAAGACAGTCGGAGGGGAGTAAAGCAAAGGATGTGAGAAGACCGACAGAGCGACAGAGGGGAGGAGAGGAACAAACCAGAGAGGGAAACAGAGGCGAGAGGCAGTGAAGAAAGACGAGAAAGAGAAAGACAGGTGCGGAGAGGAGAGAACACAATAAAGGAAAAGCGAGGAACAGAAACAATGGGACCGGACATACAGAGGTGAACAAGAGAGCCATAGGTGGCGATCAAGAGGGACAGAGGCGAGGTGAGGGAAGAGGCACAGAGGCCGTGGAAAGTCCGACAAAAGGGAGATGACCAGCAATTCAGCGGAGATGTCCAACTGCACTTTGTGCCTGAAGGCTCACAAGAGCATTTTCCTTCGGCCTGGAAGCCTGGAGTGACTTCATAGAGGTGCCATCTATCATTCCCCCAGCGCCTCCGTGGGAGCCTGGATTAGGCGCTACCTTCTCTTAGGCAGCAATCAGAAGGACGGGGAGATCAGCAAGAGAGAGAGGAAAAGGGAGAGCCAACAAAACCCTGGCTGCCCTGCACGTTCTCCTAAACAAGGACAACCTGCACGATGTCACCAACAGAGAATACTTCCCAAGCTGCCCCATCAAAGCCCCCGTTCACAGAATTGGATAAAATATGGTGTTCCCAGGCAGTGTGTGGCAGTGTGTGGCAGTGTGTGGCAGTGTGTGGCAGTGTGTGGCAGTGTGTGGCAGTGTGTGGCAGTGTGTGGCAGTGTGTGGCAGAGTGCGTCCGAGTGACTGTGTGGCAGTGATTGGGCCAGGGTTGCTTCTATTTCTGTGCCCATGCATTAAATCCGTTGGCCTGCTTGTCTAAGCTTGTGTCGTAACGTTATGACACGTTATGCAGCAGCGCAACGAACTCCGGGCATGTGCAAAAAAAACAGACCACAGACCATAGCAATTGCCCCCAATCCCCGGATAGCTCCAGGCAGAGAGACCTCCCTGAATCGTCAGTGTCATTTTCAACCATTCCCTCCATCCATCACTGCAACCCGAGCAGAAACAAATCGGCACAATGGAGTCAGCAGAGGTACCACCAGATCCCACTGGAGAAGTCCAGGATCACTTCAGGGAAAAGGAATAGACGACGGGAAAAGAGGGGGTGCGAAACATTGGAGGTGAAGGGGAATGAGATCAAAGATGCACTTCACCCTCTGCTCATCCCTCCAAGCCAGCACGCACACAACAGAATAGGCCGACGGAGGGCTAACAGCAGAAATTCAGGATCAGTTCAGGCGAAGGAATGGAAGACGGGAAAAGGGGACGTGAGAAACATTGGAGGTGAAGGGGGAATGAGATCAAAGATGCCGCACCGTCCCCTCTCCTCATCCCTCCAAGCCAGCGCGCACGCAGCAGAATAGGCCGACGGAGGGCTGACGGCAGAACGCACTTCAAGCGGATTTATGATAGAACACTTGCCAGAGCAGGAAAAAAAAAAAGATAGCCAAAATTTGAAAAAAAGATGGCCACGAGAAAAAAGATAGCCAAAAATTAAAAAAAGATGGCCAAGAGATGGTAGATAGTGGGGATGAAAGAAGAGCGACAAGGGAAAGAACAAAGTTAACCTTTCCCTCCGTGCATCTCTGCAAGCCCGCCCATAAACAGCATCAAAGAGTAGACGACGGTGGGCTCCAATTATAGCGCACACCAAAACTATATGATAAGCTACTCACTCCGGAGGTTAAAGAAGAGAAGACAGGAGAATAAGCGACAGGTAATCGTGGAGGTTAAGGGAGAGCAACAAGGGAAAGAACAAAGACCTTCCGCGCGACGTCGTTGATAGGCAAGTGGAAATGCTCGCTCAACTCCTGCAGAGTTAAACTCCTGGACCGATGTGCTAGTCCACGGGGCTGCAACCAAAAGCACGCAGCAGCATTGGCCAACCGGACAGGACAGCATGTCGTACACTCTGTCAGCCAGACAGGCAACCAACTAACCAGTGACATAACCCCACGATTTCCACGTCAGACGGCAACTGCAATCAATTACAGCATAACACTCACAGACATCATGAAGAACAGCAGGTCCATGCCACAGCATCGTCGTTACATTTCCTTTACTGTCATCTTCTTTAGATAATTGCACGGCGTACACACCCACTCCGAGACCTGAATCGCTCTAAATAAATACGGGTGGTAAGTGCTACCTGGGAGAAAATAAAAAAAATAAACTCAGCACCAGAAACCAAGACCATCCAGCCCGATCTTCCATGGGTTAGCTGTTGCGACAGGACAGGCCAACCACGGATAATGAAAACGAGTAGCAACGGAATGGATCACTCGTTTAAGGCCGCCTAGTCACACTACTCTCCATTCGCCAAGATTTTGAATGCATCTGCACACGGAATGTGTCCAAACGCATCCAAAATCTTGGCGGACGGCGAGTGGTGCAACTAGGCCAACTAAGGGCCTAGTTGCACCACGGGCCTAGTTGCACCACTCGCCATCCCCCAACATTTTAAATGCATCGTGACGCACTGTCAGTTCAGATGCATTCAGTGCAACTTCAATAGATTCCGCCCTACCTTCGAGCATGCCCTCTCCTAAATCGTTTCTATTCAGACACAAAAACGCAGCACCCGATATTATTCAGTCGTTCCTCTCTCATACTCCACTCCAAACAGACCCACGGCATCATTCACTTGGCATTTATTTTCCTCAAATCACTTACCACTTTAGTTTCACACGTACTCACCTTCGCACACCCTTGACTGCATAATTATTTACTTCTCATTTTCTCCGCATCTGTTCCATTTCCCAGTTACTATGCATTTCACCGCGAGCGTATTTCTAAGATGAGCAGTCAATTGATGGCAGCGTGTGTTGCTAAGAAGAGCAGTCAATTGATGGCAGTTCAAGAGGGACAGATTAGGGCGAAGAACAGAGCACCTCACAGCGGCTTAAGCTCGCTTGGGAGGAGGGTCCTCACGTGGCACAATTAGGAGACGGGGGGAGTGTGAAAAAAAAAAAAAAACACAGGAGGTGACTAACCCTCAATCTGCCACAAGACAAGTGGTTGAGCAGAGGATGGATCGGTGGGTGCAAGCCTCCGTGCCGCCTCGTGACGGCAGCAGGTAGTTCTTTTTTTTTTTTTTTTTTTCGGCCTAACTCGAGCTTGCAAAAATACAAAACAAAAATACTTGCCGCAGAAATTGTTAAGGATCGTCTATAAATCGCGCGAGGCGTTGGTTCAACCGCAAAGAGAGGCCGTTGGCGAAATGGTTGACCTTGTTATTAGTGCGGACATCAGAGTGGTTGGATGGGCAGGCCGTTGATAGCCCCGTATTTCTTGCTAGCTCAGCCAGCACTCCTCAAGGGGCGGGAACTGATCTGCTCCGCTTTGACGCAGGGAACGAGGACTGGAGGACGCGTTCACAAAGACCGCTGCGGACTGCACCAAAGAACCTCAAAGCAGGGCAGGGTAGTATCTGTTCTGATCAGTTTAATATCTGATCTGTGG